GCCTTATACTTGCAGAATGTATTTACTGAATAACTTACTGTATTCAGTTGTGTTTTTTATGCTCTGCATAGAGTTCAGGTATAACTAATTAATACTTTACACAAAAAGATAGGATTGCTGTTTGTCTCCATTTATTTATGTTACTATGTTGTGGTGGCTGGAGAGAGTAGAACCCTGAGTCTCACTCCCTTTACATCCTTCTCTGTCAGATCATGTTTGTGTTCAAGTGATCAGGAGTAAAGTTCAAGCAAATGTCGGTGGGTGAACTGAGTAATAGTTTCTTGCCTGAGCTTGTTGCCTATTACATGCAGTGACATCTCCCTGAAAATCTTGAAACCGTTCAAGAGACGATCCCTGGAATTCAGTGTCGTAGACACTTATTAGAAGGCTGTCTCTGGTCTGTGCAACAAATGGCACAACTTGTAACTGTTGGTATAAAGTATATGAATCTGTTGCAAAAGTGCCTCAGAATTTTGTCTCACAGATTTTTATCCATGAGATGTGACACACAATTTATTCCAACCTGAAGAGGTTTTATTTGCCTCCACTTTTCTTATAGCTGATATAGTGGTATGTCTTAATTGCCCCACGCTTGTGCAAATGTATGTAAATGAATATGAACAAATAAATACCCAAACTGATGTTTGCACAAAATAAGAGAATATATAAAACTGAAAGCTGCTTGCCATCCAGTAGGAGGAAGCGATGTATCCTGGAAGTCCAGCCCGGCAACTGGAACGCAGACCGGCGTTCCTGTGTATATTTTTTTTTTATTTAACAGTGTAGTTTATTTAGCATTTTAGAAAAACAATTTAAAACAGTAACAGTCATAAAACAACTGTACTGGCACAAAAGGGAGACATCAATAGGGACGACATAAATTCCCAGGTCACAGAGGTTGCGGACTGACATAGGTGGATCGTGCCATCGAATCTACATTTCCATCAGCAGAAGCATGCAATAGTAGACATCAGTTGGTTCATATAGTGAATTGACATATTAACAGTTATCAAAATCACCATAGAATAATATATAGGGGGTTAAGTGGGGTAGGAAGGGGGGGGGGGAGCAGGGTAGGAGAAAAAAAAATTGAGGGCAGGGGGTGTCAAAGTGTAAGGTCCTGAGCTTTAATCCAGGAGTCCCCTACCTTTTGTACAGTTATGTACTAGATATGTGAGTTTGTACAGTGGGAGGACATTTTTAATTAGGGTACACCATTGAGATATTATAAGTGGTTCAGGCATCTTCCATTTAAGCAGAATAGCTTTCCTAGCATAATAAAAGGCATAGAACAGGAACATTTGTTCAGAATATGGACAGCGCCAAACATATTCAACTAAGCAATGTGAAAAAATACAAAATTATTGAAATAAAATAATTAAAATAAATTCTATCTATCTCTATCTATCTCAAAATCATATATATTAATAAGCAACTAACCTAACCCTCAACAAAGGTGTGCATATAAATTAATCAAAAAAAGGTTGCGCTTGTTAATCACCAATTATCAAAAATATTTAAGCCATCATCAAAAATATATACTTTTTTTAAAACTATGTAAATCCCCAAAAATATCCTTTGTATCAAACATAGTGTAAAATGTCCAACACCAAATTAAACGTGCCTATTATCTTCTATTATTCAATCTTCTTGTGAAAACACAAAACACTGTGCTCAAATCCACCACTGAATTGAATAAACTCACCAGAGCAAAATGCTGGTCAGATTATAAACCAGCACAAGCACTTCTGCTCTGGGAGCAATGATCTGCAGATGAATACCAGCGTATATGGGATATTTCAAAGTGGCATACACATCTTCTCAAACTCGGAATGGGCTCAGAAAGCAAGAGTAAAAAAAGAATTTATTTATAAAACATAATATCACACTCACAATAACTGGTGTCCTAGCCGACACCAGCATAAAGAGTGTTCACAGCAAGAATCAACCCAGCCTTCTTCGGCATCCACAGATGCCGGCAGTTTGCCGAAACACGTAGGGCGGCACTTTTAGAGGTGATATCACGACATTCGGCGAACTGTCGGCGTCAGTCTATTCAGTGGTGGATTTGAGCACGGTGTTTTGTGTTTTCACATGAAGATTGAATAATTGAAGATCATAAGCACGTTTAATTTGGTGTTGGACATTTTACACTATATTTGATACTAAGGATATTTTTTGGGATTTATATAATTTAAAAAAAAGTATATATTTTATTGGTGATGGTTTAAATATTTTTGATAATTGGTGATTAACAAGCACAACATTGTTTTGATTTATAAAACAGGAACAATCTAGTATGATGTGTAGTGGCAATCGTATCACATATTCCCAGTAGAAGTCGGTATCACCAGCCCACTAACATCCCACCTCCAAGGCCACCTTCCACCTTCCAAAAGGTTTGCAGTAGAGGACAAGACCACACCCTATGTAAAAATGTGCCCACTGAGCTGCAGCACTTGGGACAGATAGGGTCTTCAGTAGTGTAAATGGTGGACAATCTTAGAGGAGAGTAGTATACCCAATATAGGAATTGCAACTGGATCCATCTATCTCTGGCTGAGATCATAAGGGGAAGGATACCCTCTTCCCAATCCCCATCTGTTCGTGCAGGTAAATCTCTGTGCCATAGTTTGTTTACACAGGACACTGGATGTATCTGATTGGGCTAGACAACGGCAGTGGGAGTAAAGAGGCTTGTCTAATTGCTCAGATGTCAGCAGTAATTCCACCTGGTGGATGTTTAACTGTAGTGGAAAGGTAAATTGAGCCTGTGCCGAATGTCTAAGCTGTAGGTAGCAGGAAAAACACATTTTGTTGGGTAGCTGTCTCCGGCTGCTGTCAATCACAGCCAGTGAGCCAATGAGGAGAGAGGGGGGGGCTGAGCCGAGGCTTTGTCTTATGGACGCGTAGCATAGCGGCTTGGGGATGGGCACACAGTGGTGCCCCCAGGGCAAGCAGCTTTTATGGGGGCACTGCTTGAGGGGGAGGAGCCAGGAGTGCCAGCAGGGACCCGAAGAGAAGAGGATCAGGGCTGCTCTAGGCAAAATCCTGCACAGAGCAGGTAAGTATAGACATGTTTGTTTTTAAAAAAGAAAAAAAACAAGCTTTAGAGTCACTTTAGGATTATCGAAGGTACTCGGATGACCCTCTGAAATAATATCCTGTAGCGTTTTAACCCTGCATTGAGCCCAAATAATAGGGTCTGGGTTCATCTGAAAATGGAACAGTCTAGGATTATTCCACAATGGGGTATGTGGAGACCACCCCTCAGAAATCCCCATGGAACCCTCTACTTTCCTCCATAATTTCAAACTAGTTTTTATAGGTCTGGTTACATTGGGGTTAGATCTGGGCCCCCTAAACACTAGGTTACTCAGTTCAAAATATGATCCTAGTAGGGCTGCCTCTAGATCCACAGCATGGTAATCTGACATCTGAGAGAACCACCAGTGTGCTGTCACTAGTACTGCAGTCCAATAGTATTTCTGGAAGCGGGAGGGCTAGGCCAACCAAGGGAGGTAGGGGGAGGGAGGTAACTAAAGGGTAGCTTTAGCTATGCAGGGAACACTGCCTGCCAAAACAAAGGACGTAATCAATTGGTCAAGTTTCTTAAAGAAGGATTTGGGTATGGGAACCAGCGTATGCCTAAACACAAAAAGGAATTTGGGCAAAGAAGTCATTTTAATCAGGTTAATTCTGCCCACCTGGGGGTAATGGCATGGATTTCCATGCACCACATCTTTCAGACAACTTGGATTGGATCGGAAAGAGATCATCTTGCAGGTAGGCAGATAACTCCCTCTGAACCACAATAACTAGGTACTTAAAAAGTGACACCCATTGTAGCAATACCCAAGGAGGCCCCCACTGTGTTTGAAGAGAACAGGAAAGATTTGTCCCAGTCCATCCCTATACCAGAAAAAGGCCAAATTGGTCAATTCCAAAGCCGCCTGTAAAGATGAAGAGGCATCCCCCAGTTAGAGGAGGGTGTCATCAGCATACAGTGACCCCTTTTTTTTTTTTTCCAGGGGCCCCCATACAATGCCCCAAACTCTAGTGGATTGACTAACTCTAATGGCTAGAGGTTCAATGGCCAGGGCAAATAGTGGACATCTCTATCGCGTTCCATGGAGCAAAGTCTAAATTCTGGGGATAGTATGTCACCAGTGTGGATTCCAACATCCAAAGCCAAGATATGAACTGCAGACCAAAGCCAAACCTTTGCAAAACCTGCCAAAGAAAAGGCCATTCCACCGAGTCAAAGGCCTTTTCCGCATCCATGGAGGCCACCAACCCAGACACGGAAGACTCAAGGATAGTAAACAGCCATCAGATATAAATGACGGAACCCTTGCCCAGCATTAACCCTAATTGATCGTTGTGGACTATGGATACGATGATGCAATTAAGGCGAGTAGCCAGGATTTTAGTATCTTAGCATCCACATTAACCTAAGATATAGGGCGGTAGGACTTACATAGGTTAGGGTTCCTGCCCTGTTTTGGAAGGACTACCCTAATGGCCTGAAACATGGTGGCTGAAGGAGTTGCCTCCTCCAGAGCAGCAACAAGCATCTCATAAAACCTAGGAGCCAGAATTTCAACATGACCTTTATAAAACTCGAAGAGGAGGCCATCTAAGCCAGGAGTTTTCTTAGATTGCATAAAATATATAGCCTGTTGTACCACCTCTAAGGTAATAGGTGAGTGTAAGGGAATTCCCGTGAGCCAGCTGGTAAATAGACATGTGCATAGAAATGCACGATCACGAACACACAGGTGCACACGCACGATGAAGATTGGCGCCAAACGGACTATTTAAAAGGTGCCTGTGCTGAGTGCTGACTGGTCTTCAGCTCCCCCGTGTCCTGCTTGTTCCTGTGTGATTCCCTTGTTGCTGACCCGGCTTGTTCCTCACCTGACTCTGATTACTCTCCTGATTGATACTGGTTCCTGACTTCGGCTTTGCTTCTGATTCTGTACCTTGTCCGCCTGTTGATGACCCTAGCTATTCCTATGACACTGCTCCTGTCTCTTCCTCTCGCTTCCTGACTTGCTCTGGTGCACACCTGGCCACCTACAAAACCAGCTCTGCATGTTACCACTGTGCCTGAATCAGAGGATCATCAGTCTTCCAAGGTCATCCTCTACAAGAGCTGCAAACAACAACTACTGGCGCTATTGTTCCCCTGGGTCCTAGACTCCCTCTGTTCCAACTCCAGTGGGGTCAGGGCTAGTGACACAAGTGAGGCCGACCTCGTCATTTCAGTTTCCCATCAGTTTCCCATCCCGTGACAGTACCAGTGAGCCAATGATGGAGTCTGAAAGGGAGGCCTCTGCAATGGGGGACATCTGTCAATCAGTCTCTGCCTTATCTTACTTGGTGCAAAGTCTGCAAAGAAACCTTGAGCACCTGGAGAGCCAACTACCACCCGAGTCTAATGCCTCCACAGCCACAGGGCCCTCTGCACTCTCAGATATAAGTACTCAGAGCTCAGTATGATTCTTGGATCTTCTCCCTTACCGGAACCCCGCGTACCAACACCTGAGTTTTTCACAGGAGACCGCAGGAAGTTCCGAACCTTTCGCAACTCCTGCGAGCTATATTTTTCCCTGCTTCTAAGAAACCTTTGCATCACAAAGCACCGAAGTGAGATTCATTATCTCACTCCTTAAGCATGAACCCCAATCTTTGGCACACCACCTTCGTGAGCAACATGACCCGGCTCTAACTTCGATAGACTCGTTTTCTCAGCAATGTCACAGCTCTATGTTGATCCCTTCCTTCGTCAGACTGCTGAATCTATACTTAGCAAGCTACAGCAGGGCCAAAGGCCTATAGAGGAATATGTTACCGAGTTCCGTATATGGAGTTCCGACACTCAGTGGAATGAGTCTGCTCTCCGCTACCAGTTCCGCCTTGGCCTTTCTAACACCCTGAAAGATGAGCTTGCCCGAGTGGGGGTACCAACCAGGCTAGAAGACCTGATAGACCATGCTATCCACATCGACCGTCGGATCCGGGAGAGACAGGATGAAAAGACTAACGGGGAGATCTTGATATGTTCAGAGGTGGAGACCCCTGTTTCCTCTACTACTGTTGTCCCATCAGACCTACTTCCCAATAATAGAAGGCATCATAATTCCCCTAGAAGGAGTTTCTGGAGACCACCATTGTCCTCTGCTGAACGTCTTCGAAGACAAGAGTCCAATCTCTGTCTCTACTGTGGCGACGCAGGTCACTATGTACTGACGTGTCCAGTAAGACCTCATAGGTCTTCTCCTAGATGGTTTCATATGATGCACCTCCAAGGAGCAAGCCGAACGCACCTCTCCTTCCACCTTCACTTACAGCTGACTGAAAGGACAATTACTGTTCTGGCCATTATAGACTCAGGTGCCTGTAGTTGTTTCCTGGATTCTAACTTTACTAACCAAAACAAGATTCCCCTCCACACCAAGACACAAAGACTTTTGATCCATCTGGCTGATGGCTCTGGTATCAATTCTGGTCCTGTGACACAAGAGAGACCATGCCAATTTTATGCCACTCCTCTTTGGGACATCAGGAATTCCTATGTCTGGATGTCATAACTTCTCCAATATTTCCAGTCATTCTCGGCATGCCATGGCTAAAAGCCCGCAACCCATCCATCAGTTGGTTGTCTGGGGAGATCCTTTTCCCCTCCGAATACTGCCTGAACCACTGCATTCATAAGGAACCAGGTACAGCAACTCTGCTTAGTATTAAACCTGACTCTGAGACACTGAACTCATTCCTGTTGCTTACCATGATTACCTGGATGTATTTATTAAGAAGAGTACCAATGCTCTTCCTCCACACCGCTCTTATGATTGTCCTATTGAGCTTCTGCCTGGTGCCGAAATTCCTTTTGGGCGAATTTACCCCCTATGCAAATTAGAATTAGAGGTCCTCCGGAGTTATATTGATGAGAGCTTGGAAAAAGGGTTTATTCGGCCCTCTACATCACCAGCGGGAGCTGGCATTTTCTTTGTTGAGAAGAAGGATCATACCCTCCGACCTTGTGTTGACTATCGTGATCTGAATAAAATAACTGTCAAGAATCGCTATCCTCTTCCTCTAATTCCTGAATTATTGCAAAGGCTACGAGGGGCATGTGTCTTTTCAAAACTGGATCTGAGGGGCGCTTACAATTTAGTTAGAATTCGCGAAGGGGATGAATGGAAGATGGCCTTTCGAACACGCTTTGGGCATTTTGAATACCTGGTGAGGCCATTTGGTCTCTGTAATGCCCCAGCAACATTCCAACACTTTGTGAATGATATATTTTGGGACTTTCTTGATCTGTTTATTATTGTTTACTTGGATGACATCCTAGTCTTTTCCAGCTCAATGGAACAACACCGGGATCATGTAAAGAAAATTCTGGAGAGATTACGCCAACATCACCTCTACGCCAAAGTGGAGAAATGTGAGTTCAAGAAACAGACTATTCAGTTCCTCGGACTTGTGATCACTCCCGATGGCATTGCTATGGATCCTCAAAAGGTGACCTCCATGCTAGAATGGCCCGTTCCAAAGGACAGGAAAGCAGTGGAACATTTTGTGGGCTTCGCAAACTTTTACAGAATGTTTATTAAGAACTTTTCGGGGATCATTGCACCAGTGACACAGCTAACCAGGCAACATGTTACTTTCAGGTGGACTCCTGAGGCTCAAGTCGCCTTTGAACAATTAAAGACTTTGTTCACCTCTGCACCTATCCTGAAGCACCCAGATCCTGCTTTAGCCTTTGTCCTAGAAGTAGACGCTTCTGAAAATGCTGTGGGAGCAATATTGTCACAATGACAGAGACTCAAATCCCTTCTGCACCCCGTTGCTTTTTTCTCTAGGAAGCTAAATGCCTCTGAAAGGAATTATGACGTAGGAGACAGAGAGCTATTGGCCATCAAGGCAGCACTTGAAGAATGGCGCTACTTAGTGGAGGGAGATTCCCATCCTATCCTCATTTTCACGGATCATAAGAACCTAGAATACTTGAGAATGGCAAAACGTCTAAGGCCACAACAGGCAAGATGGGCACTGTTCTTTTCCCACTTTGTCTTTCATGTAACATACCGTCCAGGATCAAAGAACGGTAAGCCAGATGCACTCACACGTATGTTTCACGATCCAGCTATACCATCTGAACCTGACACAATTCTGCCAGCTAACAATTTCTTTCTTTTGCAAACTTACCTTGTAGCACAAATAAGAGAAGTGGTGGATGATCATCCAACACCCTTAGAGATGCATCTTCAGCTAAGAGACGGTCTGTATCTTCACAAGGAACAAATCTTCGTACCGGAACAACTCAAGACTCTCATCCTCAAAAGATGTCATGATCACCCTTTTAGCGGGTCACTTTGGGATCCACAAGACCTCAGATTTGGTCTCCTGTTCCTTCTGGTGGCCAAACTCGATGAAAGACTGCCAGAACTATGTTAGATCTTGCTCCGTATGTCTTCGAAACAAATCTGATAAAGCGCATGTGCGCGAAACATGTTTTGTCCCGGCAACCGGCCTCTTCCTTCTAAAGCTGTGGCTCCAGCAAGAGTTCCCCCCCCTCCGTCTCTCCACATCGTGGTGACGTCATCCAGGACGCTGGGACGTCGGGTACACGTGGTCCCTGCACTGACAGGTATTCTACTCCACTGCTTCCTTTTGAGCGGATGGGCCGTCCATCTTGGAACCTGGCTTCTTAGAGCCACAGGCTGGTTATTTATTTTTTACCATATGAATTATTAAAGGCACACCTCCATATAAGGTGTATTACTTTTATCACAAAACTACACAGCGCCTGGCTCCTGTTCATACAGCCAAGACCTGGGGCCTGTTGGAATCTCTGCCAGTACCTGAAAAACTATGGAGTATGATTTCTATGGATTCTATTGTTGAGCTCCCCCCCATCTGAGGGATTCACCACTATTTTTGTAGTGATTGACTGCCTATCAAAAATTGCCCACTTCATTCCCTTGAAAGGGACTCCTTCTGCCGCTGAAACTGCTTCTGCCTTCATCAGAGAACAGTAAGATTGCATGGCGTTCCTAACAACATCTTCTCCGATTGAGAAGTACAGTTTACGTTTAAATTCTGGAAAGCTCTGTGTGAGGCATTAGAGATCGAACTACGCTTCTCTTCCGCATACCATCCACAAACAAATGGACAAACAGAGAGGACAAACCAGACTCTGGAACAATATCTCCGATGTTTCTCATCATATTCAAAGGATGACTGGGTGTCTCTCCTTCCATTAGCGGAATTCGCATACAACAACTCCATTCACTCTGCTACAAACAGTCTCCTTTTTACTCCAACTATGGATATCACCCCTCCTTTCTTCCTGAAATTCCGGTGGAACCCGCTGTCCCGGCAGTACAGGAAAGGATGGATTTCCTCAGTAGGAACGGTCAAATACTGCAAAAGACTATTTTAGAAGCTCAAGCGAGTAACAGAGAAGGGGCAACCTAAATCTGAAACCAGGAGATAAAGTCTGGTTATCTACGACAAACCTAAAATTGAACTGTCCTTCAAGGAAGCTTGGTCCAAGATACCTGGGTCCATTCATTAAGAGAAAAATTAACCCTGTGGCTTTCGAGTTAATACTACCTAAAAATATGAAGATTCATCCAGTATTCCATATCTCCCTGTTAAAACCATATATTCCAAGTGGATTTCCCAATCAAGATCTGGAGACTCCTGCTCCACTGCTGGTCGAAGGTAATGAAGAATACGAGGTGGAGGCTATCCTGGATTGTAGAAAGAGGGGAGGTAATACCCAGTTTCTCATCAAATGGAAAGGCTACGGTCCAGAGGATAATTCCTGGCAACCGTCCACTAATGTCCATGCTCCACAGTTAGTTCGAGCCTATCTCCATCTTCACCCTGAAAAACAAGCCTTAGTGGGCAGCCGGAGGCTGCCCCTAAGGGGGGGGGGGCAATGTAAGGGAATTCCCGTGAGACGGCTGGTGATAGACGTGCGCATGTGCACATAAATGCGCGATCACGCACGATGAAGATTGGCGCCAGACGGACTATTTAAAAGGTGCCTTTGCCTGTGCTGAGTGCTGACTGGTCTTCAGCTCCCCCGTGTCCTGCTTGTTCCTGTGTGATTCCCTTGTTGCTGACCCGGCTTGTTCCTCACCGGACTCTGATTGCTCTCCTGATTGATACTGGTTCCTGACTTCGGCTCTGCTCCTGACTTCGGCTGGCTATTCCTATGACACTGCTCCTGTCTCTTCCTTTCGCTTCCTGACTTGCTCTGGTGTACACCTGGCGACTTACAAAACCAGCTCTGCATGTTACCACTGTGCCTGAATCAGAGGATCATCAGTCTTCCAAGGTCATGATCTACAAGAGCTGCAAACAACAACTACTGGCGCTCTTGTTCCCCTGGGTCCTAGACTCCCTCTGTTCCAACTCCAATGGGGTCAGGGCTAGTGACACAAGTGAGGTCGACGTCGTCATTTCAGTCTCCCATCAGGTACGTGACAGTGAGTCTAGGTGCTGTTGCTGTTTTATAGACAAGGTTGCCAGATCTACATCTGTATATTGGACGAATATTGCTCTTGCCAGAATTTGGCAAACTGAGCATTGATCACTACAGGGTCAGTCAAGAGGGTGCCATCAGTGTCCCTAATATTCACTATAGAAGTGACTGGGTCCTGTTCCTTGGAAAGCCAGGCCAAGAGATTCCCCATCTTACCTCCCTGTTTAAAGATGCGCTGTTTGGTGCAGTCCATGCTTCTTATTCTTCGCTCTAAGGAGCTTAACCTCCTGGTATGCCACCTGCATGTCTAAATAAGTGATGGGATTGCGGGTCTCCATATATTGTGAGTCTAAGGCGTGAGCACTAACTCACCGAGTATCGACTATCTGGGTTTGGTATTGACCCAGTGCATAGGCCTTGAAGCCATCCCATAGTATCGCTGAGGGCACTGAGCCTTTGTTAAGAGGCCAGTAAGCCTGAATTGCCTCAGCAGCCCGAGTCTCAACTTTTTCTTCTGAAATCCAATACCGGCAGAGTCTCCACACCTTATCTGAAGGTGCTCTATGAACCTGTAGAGTCAACATAATAGGGGCATTGTCAGAGATACCCCTGGAGAGTATGGAGACCTCTTGTATCTTAGCAAGTAACTCCGTGGACACATAAATATCAATTCTAGACATGGTGTTATATGTAGAAGAGAAGCGGGTGTACTGCCTATCTTTAAGGTGTTTCCAGCGCCAAGTGTCCTGAAGCCCGTATAGGGCTGCTCCCTTAATCAAAACTGAGTCTTTAGCTGTATCTGGGATCAACTTATCACCACTGCGGAAGGAGGCATGTTGAAGTCTCCTGGTACAATACCATTTGAGGATGGGAACAAAGCAAGGAGAGATGTTAACTTATGAATGTGGGTGGAGTGCACAAGTGGAGGAAAGTATACCCCTAGAATCACCATATCCATAGAATCAATCACTGCATGGAGCAAAACATATTTACCCTCCGGGTCCAATTTAAGGTCCAACAAGGAGAACGCCTATCACATAGGAGGAGTAGGTCACAACAAACCCATGCCTTCTTGAGTCTAAGAACCTTACTTCCTGTGAGATGAGTTTCCTGCAGTATGCATATATGAGGGTTGTACAGTTTAGGGATCATTTGATATTTGCATCAAATTCTCTAACATTCTGTGATGTCACTTAATAGGGAGCTAGGGTTTAAGAACAAAAGGTAAATTTGGGGTTCCCGGTGAAAGACCCCCTGGACTTGGAGACTAAAGTAACATAACTACCCCCAATGTCTCTTGGTAGTCAGGGTCGCCTGACGTTTTGATGGCCTGCATGAACACAGTGAAACTCTGCTGCTCCGTCTCCGCTGAGTCACATGGTTCAGTCTGCAATGCCATGTTGGATTTTCCCTCTTGCGCGGGAGCCCTAAACTGGCTTTTCCTCTGTGGCTCAAAAATATAACCAACTGTGCTTACTTAGAGAAGACCTATGGCTACATCATACACTTTCAGTTCATAAATATTAGCATTGTAATAGCAATACAAACATTAGTTATATTTGACAATCCAATATACAGTTTGCTTTCATGGAAAGTCTCCTTTCATGTTGTGAGTTCTGCCTGTCTGCTGATCATCTGTTTCCACAACTTCCTGGATTCCCAGCATGCTTTACAGCATCTCCTCTGCTGTTTACTTTCAATTTCTAAGGACTACATTTCCCATGGTACCTTGCTGCACGCAAGCAGTGATTCCTGTACTGACTCCATCTCCTGAAATGCCTCCTCTTAGCGCTTCTGTAGTTTAGAAGGCAGGTTTTGTGATAGGTGTAACACAGCACTACCCACAGGGCATAGTGAATACATGTCAAAGAACTCCAGAAAGTAAATGTGTGGGGATCTTCACAAAGTAAGTTTACAAACTTCAAGATGGTTCAGATTAATAGAAATAGGCTAGAAATGATTGAAATACAGGCATACCTCGGTTTACGAATTTAATTTGTTCTGCTGGACTTTTCGGATAGCGAAGAATTCGCAAACCGAAACGCCGTTTCCCATAGGGATAGATTGAAAACCAACTAATCCATTCCTGAGGTCAGAAAAAAGTAAATGCTACTAAAATACTGCATGAGTTATTTTATCAAGTCATGTAGTATTTTAGTAGTGACAACCATGTGTTAACGTTTCAGCTGTCAGCGGGATTCCCCACGGACAGCTGAATGTAATAGAATTGCCGGCAATAAAAAAACGGCATGGGGTCCCCCCTCCCATCCATATTGAGCCCTTCGGGTCTGGTATGGATTTTAAGGGGAACTCCCACTCCAAAATGTAAAAAAAAAATGTTGTGGGGGGTCCCCCCAAAACCAAAATCCATACCAGACCCTTATCTGAGCATGCAGCCCAGCAGGTCAGGAAGGGGGGGGGGACGAGCGAGCACCCCCCCCTCCTGAACCATACCAGGCCACATGCCCTCAACATGGGGGGGTGCTATGGGGGCAGGGGGGCTCCCCCCAAAGCACCTTGTCCCCATGATGGGGACAAGGGCCTCTTCCCCACAACCCTGGCCAGTGGTTGTGGGGGTCTGCAAGCAGGGGGCTTATCGGAATCTGGAAGTCCCCCCCCCCCCCCATGTGAATTACTATGGGGCACATGGTCCCGATACTCGATCACAAAAACCAAAATGTGTAGTGTGAAAAAAGACAGAACACGGTCTTTGACAAGTCCTTTTTAAAAGAAAAAACTAAAAGAATGCCCCCCGCAGTAGATCCAACATCAATGACAATGCCCGCCGCTGCCAAGACGAAAAAAAGAATAAAAAAAAAAAAAAAAAAAAGGCTCCACTTCTGAGGATGACTCCTGCTTCCTTTTAGCTGATTTCCTCAAGTTAAAAGAAACAATGTTTCCTTTTAGTTTCTTAAAAGAAGCAAAGTTTCCTTTAACTCCAGGGAAAGTGACAGCTAATTCTGTGAGCTATAGTGAAGGTAAAAAAAAAAAGCTTGCAATTGCATTTAAAAATTCGTAATAAATTTGTAAACCGAGGCATTATTTTCAATGGATTTTCATTCGTAAACCGAAAATTATGTTAACCGAGGCATTTGTAAACCGAGGTACACCTGTAAAGTGTGGAACTGAATATAAGATTTTACATTTTGACTATAGATATGCTTTAAAGTGCTTTTCCACTTTTGTAGTCAAACATGAGAACCACATTATGTTTGTGTTCCTAGTCACACAGCATCTTGTTTTTATATTTCTTACCTTTCAGATCTAGTACAACTGATGAGATATCTGCCTCCAGACAGGGTTAATCATGGTAAACACAGCTTTCAAACCCCGCTTGCTATAAGTTCCACATGAACTACAGTCATTTGCAGATAATTGTAATAAAATCACCTTTGTGATTATCACACTCAGCACCTAGCCAGGATATGTCTATAACTGTCCAAATACTCTACTTGCCTAATCTGTGATTTCATAAGCACTCCCGGAATTAAGGCAGTAGCCATCAAAGATGTGGGCATCTGAAGCCCACTCCTATGTTTTTCCAGGATTCTGTGCAGCTGGCTACCCAGCATGTGCCTCCCGATCGCATGCCTACTCGGTAATGACAATGCGCCTGCGCAGTAATGACTTCACGGTGCACATAGACGCTTAGACTGCCTGAAGACTCCTGGGATCGATGACACAGATATCTCGGGAGTCAGTGGGACATCCTAATTACATCACTCACCTAGGCGGCTGGAACAGGATGTCCCAGGGAAAATAATAATTAAAAAAGGTACTTTCACAGAACATTTTATTATCCAATTACATAAGCACTGTTGGTGGAATTAGAGTAAATTACAAATTTGGAAAATTAGTCAAACTCCACTTTAATTTGCAATTTTTAAATATTTTGTTTTCCAATGTAAATGTGTAACAAATATGCAGTTGGCATTATTCCAAATTGACTGAAAAGAGTGGAAATATCCTTTAGCCCTGGTTCACGCTAATGTGGTGCGGAATTTGCGCGTTCTCTGTACGAATTCTGCACTGCATCAGAATCGCACCCCATTCATGTGAACCGCTGCTGTGGGTGTGTATATTGACACCCCGAAGCGGTCCGCAAAAAGCGGTGCGATGTGCAGAATCAGACCACATAGGTGTGAATAACCCATGCAATCTGATTCTAGTGAGGACCAAATAAAGGGTCCTGCACCTTTTTGGTGCGGTGCGATTAGAACCATACAAAATGTATGGTTCCAATCACACCGCACACAAATCGCATGTGATGTGCACAGGAATGCAGTGCGGTTCCTGTGCGAATCACATGCGATATACCGAACCCCATATATGTGAACCCAGACTTAAAGTGGTTGTGAAGGTTCACTTAATTTTGCACAGAGCAGCACTAAACCTCTTCTTCTGGGGTCAGTTTAAGATTGCGGAGGAATTGAAGGTTCATGCAGGTCAGATTAAACTGTTTCCCGAATTTGTATTGGTATGTGTTCTAATTCTTATGTGCATTGATATATTTTGTGAACAGATAGAAATCCAGACAAAACGTGTGTGCAAGCAACTCTTTGTATGTGTTTTTAAATGTGTCATCCTTCTCTTGGTTAAGCACACTTTCCTTGCAGCAGAGGGGTCTTAGGACACAATTATCTTCCTTCTCTTTTTGCCTCCCAAAATCCAGGAACATACTGGCAGGTTATCGGTGACTCTGGTATCACTATTGTCTAAGCTGCTATAGAGCCATAGAAATATATGTTGCTGCTAGTAGAGATATTTTGATAACTGACAAAAGTGCTCCATGTTTGATCCAGCAAAAAGCAAAGCAAAGTAGCTGTACCACAGAGACACTGCGCTTTTATTAACGAGCATTCCCGGAATCATCTAATTAGCCAAGTCCTCCCCCGGAGCAGGCTGGACAGCTGTCTGTGAGATTAGAGAAACAAGAAACACAGGGCCTCATTCAACTTAAACACTCCACCCCATTCATAAGTAAGGGAGGGAGGGACGGACACACATCAGGG